TGAACTTTCCAGCGACCAACACAGCCGCCTCCCGGTCTCTCACGAGGGTCAGCACTTGGTCTAGTGTTGGTCCTCACTGGGCTGTGCCCCCCCATCAGCCCACGTCCGAGTGAGGGGGACCCGTGACAGGGACCGTGTTTGGGAACGTGCTCGCGTCCAGATGGAGGAGATGGGTCCGGCGGGGCCCTGGCCGATGACGGGCGTCCCCATGGGAGGAGGGCCAGGTGGCACAAACAGAGCGAGGCCAGGACGACAGGCAGAGACTTGAGGCGAAGCCTCCTCCAGCCAAGGAATCCCCCGACCTCTGGCCCCGGCAGACGCAGGGAGAGGCAAAGAGGACCTGCTTGTGGCCCCCAGATGGAGGGTGCACATCTGGGGGGCTGTCGGGACGGCTCAGGGACACACCCAGCGAGTTCTTAGCTGGCGCTGTGCTCCGAGTCCAGGCATGCCCCAGTCCCACAGGCCGCTCTCGGTTGTCAGTGTGTGACCAGAACTGCTGTGTGCCTACGAGCTGCAGGCGGATCAGGGCACATGGCAGGACGTGCGGGGAAGCGATCCTATCGGGGGGGACCCCATGGAACGGAGACTCGGACGCCTGGAGTCTGAGCTATCTGCCCAGCGGGGTCCTCAGGCTCTGGAGTGGCCTCCTCAGGCCTGGTTCCTGGAGGGTGCCCGCGGGGAACCTGAGCCGCGCCCGGCAGGCCCACGGTGAGGAGAGCAGGTGCATGGCGGGCTCCTGAGTGCCAGTGGGGACACCGCTGGGGCCTTAGGATGCCCAGGCTGCCGGGCCTGCGGGCTCAGGCCGGGACCAAGCACACTAACAAGTTGGCCCTGGGCCTGGCGGGTAGCGAGGTGGTGCATGGCCGCGCTTTGGGGAGTCCCGGGGCGCCCAGTGGCTGCTTGCCTGGCAGGACGCCCGGGGTGGTAGTGGCTAGGGCTGCGGGGAGGGAGCCAGCTGTGACCCGCAGCCTTTCCCTCACCAGCTCCGTGGGGTTCACAGTTTGACAGTTGCTGGATCTGAGCTCCTCCCTCCCAAGTGTTCATGGTCAGACACTAACTCGCTGATGAAAGAGCGAGTGCATCTGAGCTGGTTCAGGGCAGCGGTCAGCGGTCAGCACAGGGCGGTGCCAGGAACTCGCTCCGACGGACCCAGCGGGAAGCCATCCTCCAAGGGGCAGTGAACTCAAATCCCTCCCGACTCCCCAGTGACGGTGGCCCGCAGGCCGGGCTTGGGAAGGGGCTCTGAGGATGCATCGTCAGGGTCTTCAGTGGGAACGGCTTGGACCCAGAGTCCCCACTGGTGTCCTCGGCCTGGACCTGTGGTCCAGGTGAAAGAGGCCACGACGGTCGCTCCGAGCGGGAGCACAGGCCCACCCTCCTGCTCACTGCGGACACGCACGTCGCTGAGGCCGAGGCTCCTGGGCCTTCCACCTGGAGGGGCGGCTGGGTGAGCAGCCCACAGGGCCTCCCCTCCCTGGAGAGCAGGTCGTGACATATGTAGATCTCGTTAATGACGGCTCCACCAAAGCCCTGGGCTGGGTCCTACAGGCGTAGCAGTGAGCGCAAGGCCATGGGCCATGGACGAAGCCCACTGCACAGCCTCAGTTAACTATCAGCCGATGACTTGAAGGAGAGCATTGGCGACCACTTGTCACATTGTAAACTAGCATTTTGGTTCTAGGACTGTGTCTAGGGCAGGGGTGGGCAAACTTTTTGACTCGAGGGCCACAATAGGTTCTTAAACTGGACTCAGAAGAAGGAGCTGCGGCCGTGTGTCCCAACGTTGCCATGTTAACACTGCTGCTGGTGAAGGAGCGGAGGGGAGAGCGAGAGAAACCTCCGCCCTTTCGGCTCCGCGGGCCGGATAGAACAGCCGAACGGGCCGGATCGGGCCCGCGGGCCGTAGTTTGTCCACGGCTGGGATAGGGTGTGTTCGCAGGAGCCCCTGCAGTGTCTGTGGTAGGAGTCCTGTCCTGGTACCACCCACATCTAGAAAGGAGGCTGGCAGTTTCCAGGCACCCAGCCCTCAGGGGGTGGGGAGGGGAGGAGGAGGCAGCGGAGCTCCCAGTGGGTGGGTCATCCATCCCAGGACGACGCCCACCATCTGCCGGTCCTGCCCTGTGCAGACATCTGACACACTGTGACCTGTTTGCAGGGGAAACGCTGTGACCTGTTTGCAGGAGGAAACAGTGTGCCCTGTTTGCAGGGGAAACAGCGTGCCCTGTTTGCAGGCGGAAACAGTGTGCCCTGGTTGCAGGGGAAACAGCGTGCCCTGTTTGCAGGCGGAAACAGTGTGCCCTGGTTGCAGGGGAAACAGCGTGCCCTGTTTGCAGGCGGAAACAGTGTGCCCTGGTTGCAGGGGAAACAGCGTGCCCTGTTTGCAGGCGGAAACAGTGTGCCCTGGTTGCAGGGGAAACAGCGTGCCCTGTTTGCAGGCGGAAACAGTGTGCCCTGGTTGCAGGGGAAACAGCGTGCCCTGTTTGCAGGCGGAAACAGTGTGCCCTGGTTGCAGGGGAAACAGCGTGCCCTGTTTGCAGGCGGAAACAGTGTGCCCTGGTTGCAGGGGAAACAGCGTGCCCTGTTTGCAGGCGGAAACAGTGTGCCCTGGTTGCAGGGGAAACAGCGTGCCCTGTTTGCAGGCGGAAACAGTGTGCCCTGGTTGCAGGGGAAACAGCGTGCCCTGTTTGCAGGCGGAAACAGTGTGCCCTGGTTGCAGGGGAAACAGCGTGCCCTGTTTGCAGGCGGAAACAGTGTGCCCTGTTTGCAGGAAGAGGGAAAGGGTGGGTGGGGCTATGATGGGAGGTGTGTGCACCTCTGCCCCAGGGCACTTTCTGGGAGGAGACTGGCTGCCTGCATCAGAGGTGAGCGGCGCCTGGACAGGAGCTGAGATGAGGTCAGGGAGCAGAAGTCTCCTCCTCCCCTTGGGCCCGTGCACCCCGTTGGTACCATTTCAACTTTCTATCTGAGTAATTGAGAATTCCTGTCTTAATTTTTAAAAATCTTTAAAGAACATGAAGCTCATTGCTGCAGATCCCTGAACACACCCCTTCCTGTGGTTGCACTCAGCTCTTGTGCACTCCGTGCTGGGTGTGGCTCTGCAGGTGGAGCTGGCTGCACGGTGCCCATGGTGTGCACCCAGCATGACAAGCAGGGAAGGGGACAGCCTGGAACCCCCCCGCCCCAGCATGGTGTCTGCAGGGCCAGCAGGAGCCTCAGTTCCTCCTCACAACCTCCGGGCCTGGTTTCTGTGAAGCCAGCACATAAAGGCCAGGGACGCACTGACCTCTGACCTCCTGCAATGAGCCCGCGCGGCCACGCGATTCAACAGAACAGGCCTCTTCTCCCAAGGCCACCGACTGCATATAGTTCCTCTTGCACGAAGCAAATTAAAACGAAGGGTCGACGGCTCTTCTGGAAACTTCCTGCTCTATCTTTGGTTCAGGCATTCAAGGCGAGGACCAGCCTTGATCCTCGGGGGCCCATGAGTGCAGAGACTCGTGGTTGTTACTGCGGCCCCTGGCCCGACCCCGGACACCGCTCCCCAGTGTGGCTGTGCTGGGGCGCTGGCGCTTTTCCAGGAGCCTGTCCCCTTCCTTCCCGCCTCAGGGTCCTCAGCGCCGGGGGACTGAGGCGCTGTGTGCTCTTACACCGTCGTGCTGAGCTCCCTGCAACCTCCAGGAAGGCCGGCCGGCACTCACCTGCGGTGTGTGAGGAAGCTGCCGCTGACGTGCCCGGAGCCATCGCAGCCGGGGGTGGGACAGGACATGCCCTCCGTCTTGACCGACTTCCAGGAGAACTGGGAGCCATTGAGGTACCCGTCCTTCTGCCTCTTGGCCGCCAGGGGGCAGCCGGAGGCGCTGCGGTGGGAGGCGTACTTCCCGGTGATGTGGCCCTGGCCGTCGCACCCGGGGACGGGGCACCTGAGAGCAGACAGAGGAGACACGCGTTCCTGCCTGCCGCACACAGCTGGTGGCTCTACAGCAACTCAGAATCACCTGACTCCACTCGTCTCTCCGGCCAGACAGACGGGAAACGTGAGTGGGGGGTGAGGGCGCGTTTCACCCTCGCGGACACCCGCCCAGGGCCCGCGTCTGCCGACAAGACTCCACCGGTGGGCAGAACCACGGCTTTGATGGAGGAAATAAGTCAAGTCAGTGGGAAGCTGCAGGGGTTTTCCATAAAGGCTATTTCATAAACTTGTTCTCTCAGGAGCTAGGACACGTCTGTTTGTCTGGCCATGTTCTCCGGCAGCGGGAGAGAGGATTTAACTGAGGCCCTTGGGACAGCGTAAGCACAGAGCACGCCTCGCGGACATCTGGGGAATCTGTGGAAAGCGATGGGCTGATGCTACAGCTCCGAGCAGCCACGGAGCTTCTGGAACTTCTCACAAGGCGACAGCAAAGGGCTGCGCACACAGCCAGGCCGCAGACGCCTGGGCGAGCTCACGGCTCCTCACAGGCCCCAGGCTGTGGGTTTGGCCGGCATTTTTTCTTAAAACATTAAAGTTTTCATGCTATGTAATTTGCATTGCCTATTTATTTTGAAACATTTTAATAATTTTTATTTTAATTAATTTTCATTTTATTAACAATTTTTGCAAAGACACTGAGGTTAAAATCTCACGGAGACAGCACCAGGTTTATCATGGATTTTTGAGACCCAGGCTCACTGGCGCCGGTTCTGGGCCAAGGCCTGGGTGAGTGGGAGGGCGGACGCTCTCTCTGGCCCCACATGCCAGGAGCCTCGGTCCTGCTGAGAGTGGATGTAGCTACATGATGCCACGAGCCAGATGCCAGCACGGTGCTCACCCCGATCCTGTGTTCAATACCTTCCTCTACTTCCGTGAACCTGCCTTTCCCGTGAACAGACTGTGTTTTGCCCCAGGAAGAGGGATCCTTCGCAGCTTTGTTACTTAGAACATCAAACTGATGGGTATTCGCCTGTCACATCAACCACACTTAGACATCCGGTCTGGTCTGGGTTTAAATGATCTGACCTTGCAGTTGACTGACATCCCAAAGCGTGCCCTCCCCACGACTCTCACCTGCTCCCCACACGTGCCCTGCAGCCGCGCCCCGCCCGCACGCACACCTGATGGGCTCCTGGTCCTCCTTGTCCTCCTTGCTCTGTGCTATCCGGATGCCGCTCTTCTTGGCCCGCGGGCACCCTGAAAGGCTGAGGAGAAGCACGGGGTCAGCATCTCCCCCCCTTCGGGTCCGTGACCGCATCCCCCAGAGCCCGCTTCCCGCATGAAACAAAATCTGGGTCCCCGGGCGCAGCCCCTCTGTGCGCTCCAAGCCTCCCGCCTGCAGGGGGGGCGGCCTAGCGCGGGCACTGCCGGCCCTGAAGGCAGCGCGGGGCCTGTTCTCACGGGGGGGCTGGTGGCTCTCTCCAGATGACTTCTTCTTGCTGATTTCCATACTGATGGAAACTAGAGAACTTTCCTACCACCGACTGGGCGCCGGAACCCCAGAAAAGCAAAGCTAAGCATCGATCAACATTTAAAGACTCCTGTTTTTTTGCTTAAAACGTGGAAATGAAAACCCCTGCTCACTGCCCACCCAGCATGGAGCGCCCTGCAGAACCAGCAGCTGGAGACCATCTGCTCGGTGGGCAGTGGCTCGGAGGCGGACGCTGGGAGGGGTGCCCGGGACAGGCCCTTCTCTCCCGCGAGTCTCAGCTTCCTCGCCTGCACTCCAGAGCAAGCAGGCCCGTGTCAGCTGGAGGCGAAAGGAGCCGAGGAGGCCCGCCAGGTGTGGGCAGAGGGACCTCAGACCTCCTCCCAGTGTGGGTCTGTGTTTGTGATTCCTTCTTTAGGGTCCAAAGGTAAACCCAGAAAAGTCACTCTGGTTTGAGTGAGGTGGGAATTCATGCCTCCGCACCTCAGCCGCAGGAGCCGAGTCAGCCACAGGAGCTGTGGGAGCCGCGGGTGCTGTGTGCTGGGAGGGGCAGCCCTGCCTCTGGGTGGCCGTGGGCTCAGTGCCCCACTGGCTCCCGAGAGCGGCTCTCCGATGGGGCTGCCCGACCCTCCTGAACGTGTGATTCTCCTTCGTCAGAGCGTCCACAGGGACGTGAAGGGGACTCTGCGGCTCACCCTCTCCCTCCTCTGCGGATCTGCAGGGGCCACAGGGGACCCCCGAGCAGGGACGTGGGCAGAATTAACCCGTCCTGTTAGGGGGCTTCTGTCCCCCTGGGATTGAGGCCGAGGCCCTTCCTGCCTCCCATCCAGCTGCCCCAGAGCCTCTCCCTGGCTGGCACCGGCTGTGTCCTCTGGCTGTCGCCCTTCACGCTGATGTGTGCTGGGAGGCTGGCCGAGCACGGTGGGAGCGGACATTGCGCCAAAGGCCTTTTCAGTCCGTCTCTCACCCACCTTCTCTGTGCGGAAAGCCCGCCCGGCCTCCCAGGCGTGGGCTACGTGTCCTGGAGGCCGAGTTCCCCACCACGCGTTTAGCAGGACTCACACCAGTTTCCCTGCAGCTCCCCACGTGCTTGTACCCGCGGCGCCTCCACACGGCCCCTCCTGGTCCCCAGAGCGCGTGGATTCGGGTGTTGCGGCTGCAGCAACTCGTCTGCTTGACTTTTTCCATTTAACTGGAGTTTTTGGTCTAGTTTTACTGCATTTGCTCTAACCCAGTGACCTGATGCTAGCTCGCTTTCTGGAGGTGACCCTGAGGTTCTCCATTAAGACGCCTGGTGAACCAGCTCAGCGCAAGGAGGCTGGTCCTGACGCCGGGCCGTGGTGGGGCCGCAGCACTGTGACTTCGGGGAACCTCTGGCTGTCACAGCAGCACCTGCAGTGGCTCCCACAGCACTGAATTCTCCAGCCCATGACGTGGGCAGCGCCAGGCGGACCCCAGGAGCCGGGGGTGGTAGCAGGACCCGGCGAGGAAACAAGCTGTGCCAGCCAGCAAGCACCCCCCGGTGGGGTCACTGGGTGGCTGAGGGCTTGACCTCTGACCCGCCGACCAGCCCCACGGCTCTGTGCAAACGACCTTCCCCTGGAGGGCGGTGGGCAGTGTGGGTGGCGGACGTGCCTCTGGCGTCCTGACTCTCTGTTTGTGGGGGGGCACTCAAGCAGAAGGCTCGGCTGCCGGACAGCCCGCCCTGCTGAGCTGTGGCGAGTGGCCGCCGGCAGTGCCCACTGCTGTCCGTTGTTTAGTTGCGGCCCTGCTGTCCTTCACCCAACGGCCTCCATTCAGAAAGACCCGGTCCTTCCGGCGCTGGCTTGTTCCCCCTGAACACGGTAGGAGGTTCTCGCACCCACCACAGGGCCGAGGCCCACTCTGCGCCGACATCGCACCGAAGGCTCTTTAATCCGCTCCCGGCACAGGCCCGGCCTAGTGGGCGCTCACAGGCTGTGGACCGAGTGTCGCTCGCCCCGATGGCGGCTGCTCCCCGGGGCGGCTGCTCTGAGCCATGTGTGGACGCCGCCTCCTGGGGAGCGGCCACACGTGACGTGTGAGCTTCATCATTTCTGTGGGGTCGGCTCTGCGGCCCGGCCGACGGGACGGCGCAGCCTGGGGCTCCAATCTGACTTGTGAGCGTGTCAGAGGCTCCCCCACAGGGACTGTCCTCGGTCTTAAGTCTTCCTGGATCTTCTCTCTCAGTTAAGGACTCGCTACCGCTGCCTGTAGAGCTGCTGTGGGCGGAGCCAGCTGTAGAGAGAGCTCTGCCAGGGGCTGGGCTGCCCCAGGGGAGCTCGCTCTCTGAGTGGCCCCGCAGGGCACGGCTGCTCTGTGCGACCATGTACCAGTGGGGTCAGTGGGTGCCAGGGCCGGCAGCAGGACCCCGGCAGGAGGGGGACAAGAAAGGACGGTTTCAAGGGGAGCACAGTGCCCCACGTACCTTCGATGGGAAGCGTAGTTGCCGGTAATGTGCCCAGAGCCGTCGCAGCCAGGGGTGGGGCACCTATGATTAAACACACAAACAGGGCAATTTACTTGAAAGGAATGAAATCCCCTGGACAATAACTTTCTTATTTCTCCAGAAAGCAAGTTCCCTTAATGCACATGCTCCCGTGTGAGGAGGTCATGCAGCGCGGCTCCGGCTGCGTGGACACCAACCTGGGCCGCCTCTTCCTTCCACCCCAGCGACACTCTCCAGGGGCCCTGATGCCCAGCACCTGCCTGGGACTCAGGCCCGGAGCGTGGCCCTTGGCTGCTGCAGCCTGTCCCGTCTCCAGGACCCGGCTGCCCCGCCCCTGGAGCCGCTGCAGGTGGGCACCACAGGCCTGGCAGCACCCCAGCACACACGTGAAGCAAGGCTCTCCCTCAGACATGTGTGCCCAGGGGTCTAAACTGCCAGGCCCAGGACACGATGCTCCACGCTCCTCACTGGTCAACCGATGCCAGTGCAGCAGCAACAGGGCCTGGCCCTGGGGTGAGCGCCACCTATCAGCCCACTGGGCAGGCAGAGCTACCCGAACGTCCTTGTTTCTTTTCGCTGACCGTGGAGCAGCCGGGCCGAGGCAGCTAAGATGCTTCGATTGGCTCCAGCACCTACTGCCTCTGCCTCACCTCCGAGCCAGGCCGTCCGCTCTTCTCTCCCACACTGCCTCGCACTATGGGGGAGAGCGCTGACAACGTTTTAGCGATTCTCCTCCAAATCACTTCCTAAGTACGCCCTCTCAAGAATAACCAGACAGTTCTGCAAAGACAGTTTCCCTTTAAGCCATTTCAGTTGCATTTCTTCCTCCAGAAATGTAAAAACTGAGGACACAAATCACAGATTTTAGATCCTGAACAGATGCCAACTGTTTCTAAGGCAGCGGTTCTCAACCTTCTGGCCCTTTAAATGCAGGTCCTCATGTGGTGACCCAAACATAAAACATTGTTCGTTGCTACTTCATCACTGTCATGTTGCTACTGTGATGAACCGTAATGTAAATATCTGATATGCAGGGTGGTTTTAGGCGACCCCTGTGAAAGGGCCGTTCGACCGCCAAGGGGGTCGCGACCCACAGGTTGAGAACCGCTGGTCTAAGGGATCAGGTGTGCCTCCCACTCAGGGCGCCTCCCTGGACACGGGTGCTGAGACCAGTGCATGACCTGCTCACAGACGGACGTCCTCGCGGCCAGACGAGTGTGGGGAGTGGAGGGGAGATACGTGAGCCTGGACTGCATTCAATGCCGGGAATGCCATCTTTTGCCAGTTGGATGTATCAACAATTTTTGGTATTAGAAGCTGTCAAATTCTCCTTTAGTCCCAAGAGAGGGAAGAAGTCTAGGTCTGAGGGCGTAGAAATTGGTAGCTGCCATATTGTCCTGAAGGTTCAAGCTTAAGCTATAGCGTGTGCTGTTGGAGAATTACAGAGTGACAGCATGAGGGGCGTAGAGAAGTTGCTGGTGGGCACGGGGTGGGGGCTGGGGGGTTGGGACCTTTAAAGTAGGAGAGTGAGAAGCAATGAGAGGTTAAAGCAAATCGGGATCACAGCTGTTTCTGTCTGGTCACAAGACTGTTCTGCCAAGGCCAAGTGGCCACTGCCCGAGTGATGGCTGGACAGCCGTGCTGTCCATGGAGCCTCCCGGACGGCGAGCCCAGAGCCCCGGGAGGGACACTGCAGCTCGAGGCTGTCTGAAGGGAGCTGTCCTCAGGCGTCTCCATGGGGAAACGTACAGGGAGCAGGGATCTTCCCACCGGCAATAACACACTTGGCCCTGCTTTTTGCTTTAAAAAAAATCCTAAATTTTTCCTAACTTAAGAAGTTAGTGAAAACTTATTTAAAATGTATTCATTTTCACACGAGTCGACACTGTTTCATATGCTGTTCTCTATGTGGCAGGAGAAGAGTGAGATTATTCTGTTCAAGTTTAAAGTGAGGCCTTACAACCAAAACCCTACACAGGGAAGTCAGGTTTGACTAATTATAAGAAGGTTTTCAGAGTCGTTTCTATGTGGTTAAGCCATTTACAAATGCATCGTGTGATTTAACAAAAAGGCATTTAAAATGCCTTTATCACCATAAAAACAAAACACCGATTTGGCTCATTTTTGGAGCTTTCATTCCTAGAAAGAGGCCTTGCTTTCTGAAAAGGTCTGTTTCTATCTCCAGGGTCTCCAGGTCGGCAGCTGGCCTGCCCCCCGCTGGCTGTGGGGCTGGGGAGGTGGGGGTGGGGGGGGTGGAAGGAGGGGGGATTGCCACGTGGCCAGGAGTCCTCCTTCTCACCAGGCTGGCCGCAGTCTGACCTCAGTGCAGGGGGGGGCAGGAGGGGTGCCAACAGCTCCCAGGACGCAGGGGTCCCTCCCCCTCCTCCCTGCACTGGCCACGTCCGAGTCCCCAACACAGTCTCCTCCTGTGCTCCTGGGCCACGCCCGGCGGCCCAGAACGGTTTCCCAAAACTCCTTTTTTCTAACAGCCCTGCCTGTTCACTTGTGTGTGAGTGTGCAGACGGTAAGGCTTTTAAAACTCAGAGCCACATGCGTATTTCCTAGCTAAGAAACCTCAACATTCAAAATTCTGTTTTCTTCCCTCGGTGAGTGAGGAAGTGACTGTCCCTCTGACAAAAGGGGTGTTGGGTGCTCAGGCGGGGCCAGCCCCGGGCCCCTGATAATGGCTACAAAAGCCGTGAGCAAAACCCCTCTGCATCCCCCAGCCAGGCACACGTCCCTCAGGAGGCGGCTGCGCGGGGACCGAATCCGTAGACAGAACAGGGCAGCAGCACGCGCCGCTCAGCTTGGGCTCCAGATGGCAGAGGAGACTGACTGGTTTCTATGGAAACCGCCTGCCGGGCAGGCTCAGGCTCTCACACAGCGCCCTCTCGCTGCCGGGCGTTGCCACGACAATGGCATGAGTCTATTTCGGCTCCTATGTACAAGGTGCGTTAAGTACAACATCCGCTCCACGCGTTTCGTCTCTCCCACGCCACAGGGACCGCTGGTGAAACCACTGAGGAAGCACAGATGATCCGAGCATCCACCTGGCCCCTCATGGAGAACTTCAAGACAAAAACATGTTGGACCCACGCCTGGTATGTGATGTGGCATTTGCCCCCGGGTTTCAGTAAAACGGAAAGAAGAATTTTGGGTGCCATGTGTTATCATCTGGCTGGAAACACTGGTCTTGTATAGACATTTAAGAATGGGGATGGAAAAGTCACATTAAAAAAGTTTTAAATGTGTTTGAATTTTGCGGTATCTGGGCCAAATCTAAAAAGGAAAGGCAGGGCCACTCACAGCTTGGAGTTCTGGTGTCCTGAGTCAGCCCTTCTCCTGCTGCGGCGGCAGATCTGAGACGCCAGAGACCGGGCCCAAACCTCTCAGGGGGCCTCCTGCTCACAGCTGCCTCTACACATTTGCCACCAAAACCCAGGTTCTACTGGGACCCACCTAGGATCATCACTGATCACCCTGACACGGAGGTCGTGACACACACTCCTCACCATCAGAGAAGAACTCACTACCTCTGCACCGAGCTACACCGCCACGACGCCCTGCCCGCAGCCTGCACACAGCGCCGCCGACACAGGGCTTGCCTCTGGTGTCCTTCAGCGAGACTTGCAACCTACACTTGTGCTGTTTCTCCATCACAAGCCACAGCCCGGACACGGGGTGACAGCAATGCCAACAGTTAGCCCGCCCGCTGAAGTCGCATCACCGCCTAATTACCCGTGAGAACATCTGGGGGCCTCCTCCAGGGGGGTCAGCCCCGTGCCTCCAAGATCAACGTGGGGACGTGAGCCACAGCTGTGTTAGGTAAGAGGCTGGTGCACGAAGGGAAACGCCACGTCTCGCACACACAGCCCGAGCACCGCCATGTGCTTGCGGGTCTGGGCTGGTCCGTCCGTGCAGCCGCCCAACCCACTGACCAGCCCCACAGGGACAACCGCACCCCACTGACCAGGCCCCACAGGGACAACCGCACGCCTGCCCCGACTCTGAGCACAGGGGCCAGAACATACAGAAAAACAGTCCCTCGATGCTTCCTGTTCCTTTCTTTCACGGCCACTCTAGTGAGGGAACTTACTAAGTAAAACACAAAAGATGAAAAAGTATCATTTTTTTTTCTTCCTGCCCTCAAGTTTCAAACAAGTCATAAAAATGTAAAATTAAGCCTTGTCGATGGTAGCAAAATCCATTAGTGAATTGGGATGATTCAGGCTTCATATCTAAAAGCCTTTCCCCAATTTATATAAAAAGTTCAATTCGAAAGCTTTTTTTTTTTTTTGCCTAAAGAGATATAACTCTAGAAATGTATTTTTTAATTTTGATGTTTTTGGTCACATAATTAAGAAAAAAAATTAACACAGAGAAGTAAAAAAATAAAAATACAGGGTGTCCCAAAAAATGTATACACACTTTCACAGCTGAGAGCTCAATTTTGAGAATATTGTGTATTTTAATTAAAAACTGCCTCCATAATTATTCAAAGTGTGTGCACACCTTTCTGTGGGACACCCTCACACCCCGATCTCTGCGGCTCCTCCCCAGCGCTCTCCCCAGCGAGAACGCAGGGCGCTCAGGAGCCAGTGCCTCACGCCTGCCCAGTTTCTCACACATGTTCCCCGAGACTCAAGGAAAGACGAAGCCTTGGGGTTGTTTCAACCTGTGAGACACTGAACTCTGTCTCCTTTGGACCTCACTTTCCAGCCTGCGTGCTCTGTCCCTCCCACCTCCTCCTGCCTGAGCTCGGGTGGGGCTGGACCCGCGGGCTGCGGTGCCCACGGCTCTGAAAACCACACACCAACTCGGACAGCACCCCTGTGCCCGCAGAGCCGGGGGAAGACTGCCCTTCGGTTACGTGATGTGTGGACAAAACCCACCTTTCTCTTCAGGCCCTAAGTACTTTCTTTTAAAATTACACGAAAAACAAACACACACGGAAAAGAATTCTAAAAGTACCTTCAGCATCAGTTAAACATGCTACGTGGTGATTCAGGTGACAGTGGAACAGGCTCAGGTTGCTAGAGCCG